CACTTTTCGTGTTAAAGTGTTCTCTCTCCTAGACGGCGTGGATAGCATTATCCAATAACTCTTAGTTACACCCCGACATTCTTTTAAACTTTGCTCTTCCACTCAACCAAATTAATCCGCGAGTGACAGTTTCGCCTAACCAAAGAATCTAGAGGCTGGCCGGCCACACAGGTTTAAAACAATCATGATCACGAGTAGATGGCGTGGATTAATAATATGCTTACAAATTCCGCGGTATTTCAGTTTCAAAGCCGATTCTCATATTTGTTATCTATTAAACAGATCTGTATATTGACTATCGAGGAATCGGAAATTGCCAGTCGAATAATATCAAATGAATAGGAATTTTGTGGAAGGTCGATCCCATTCGGCCGTCATCAAAGCCGATTATTGATTTCATCGGGGTCAGTAGCAAAAGTAAGCGTACATGAGAGTGACATTTATTGCCTCGGCTCTCGTCAAGCAGCAAAACAGATTTCAACAGTGATTAATTGAGCTAATGGAGAGTTTGTTATCGAAACTGCAGCAAAACATGATAAAGAACCAACAAAAGGTGTGTCAAGTGTGTGTCTTCAATCTACTCTGATTTGCGGTAAATAGAACAAAGTCATTAAGAATTAAATCTTAATGGGCTTATGGATTCCAAAGCACGTGAGATAAACCCTTGTGAAACAATAACAAATAAATTTGGAATGTTACTAATAAGGGGAAAGAGCACGGGGAACGCCGGGAAAATGAAGAATGGGAACTGAAAGCAGAGAAATGGACAAACTGTGTTACTGACAAGTTAATAATTTTCATTTCCACGCTCCCCAAAACCTGGCGTTTTAGTAACATCCATAAATTTGACGTTGTAAGTGAAGAACCGACAAGAACTGGTCCGAAAATATTAAAATAATAGTAATAATAATAATAATAATAATAATAATAATAATAATAATAATAATAATAATAAATAAATAAATAACTTGACGTCACTAAAATTCAAACTACAAAACTATCGATCGTACTCAGATTTTACTTTCATGGTGTATTACAGCAGCTGAAAACTAATTTTCAAACAAATTTTCGCTTCAAAAAGGTTCTTGGTTTTGTAATAAAGTACACTTGAATTTCTAAGCTTTTGCGTGACTCTGCATTTTTATGACGGTCGAGAGAGCTGTCACTTAAGTTAAAGAAGTGACTTTTTTCGGAGAATTTTGCTATCTAATGGGTTCAAGTGTTAGAAAAAGTATTACTTTAATGTTTATGAATTCCTCTAGGAGTAAATTCACGCTTTTGTAGCAAAACTCGGTAACAGATGTTTCTGCTGGTTTCCGCCCGCCATGTTGGAGCTCATCCGGATGAGCTCCAGCATTGCGTCTCCATACAAAGCTCTATAAATTTGGGTAAAACATTTCCTCGGATATCTCGTATACGAATTATTCCTTCGACCCAACTCTTGGCGAGAGTCTTTGTATATTTACCTGCTTTCATTTCCCAGATTCTGGAATTTATCTGTCGAATGGTTTTGATTTTTATTTTGATCTATTTTGGATGGCGTGACACTGAAAACCAGCAATACGTCGCTTGGAGTTTGGGAATACAGTAAAACTGAACAAGATAAGAATCTATTTGACCTTACAACACATTTACATGGCATGAGTCAAGTGTTAACCTGCTGAAAATTAAAATGTGATTTTCACGGTACTTAAATATAATTATAAATAAATAAAGCAGAAAACTGAATCGCTTTAAGAGTGGATTCATTTGCAACATACGCGTACAGCTGTCAAATTTGCCCACTGGAATTTTTTGTTTTTTTTAGGCTTAGAAACAACAAAAAATTTCAGCAAATGAATCCATCCTTAATGATAGCCCATGGGGAGTGCGAAAAGGAGGGGAACCATTTGACTTACCAGCAGTAACTTTCGGTTCTTCTAGTGTCGTGTTTGCTGTTTGCCTTTGATTACAGAAATTGCAAGGTTACAAAGTTAATGGATGTCTGCGTACTCCACATAGCGGGTATCAGAAAATTGTACTAAACAGTTTACCAAATTTTGTTACCCATAGTGCTCGGCTGCGTGCGCTTCGCGCGCGCGAGAACTCCGCTATCACGTGGAAGCCAATGGGGGGGGCTTATGTTATGCTATTTTCTTTGGCAACATTGTTATATTATACCTAATGATATCCGACGTGAAAACCAACGATACGGTAAAACTCAATTTGCCCTGTCTCACGCCCCGGCCCATCGTGACTAAAGCGAGTTATATAAGCTGATTACAACAGACTGCCATGAAAAGTTGTCCCTTCTGAGGCATCTAATCTCAACCAACAGTTTGCTTATCTCAACTAATAAAAAGCCGTTTCAGAACGAACTATATTGTATCGCTTTTAATACTTAAGTGGGACAAGGGTATAATAGGAGAAGTAATAAACTGCTGGGGATGGGATGGGAGCGTTAGTTATCTCTTGTCCCGGCCTGTAACTCTGAGAAGATACCCATTGTTGCAGTGAGATAACCATTAGTCAAAAAAGGGCCTCTTACACGGTCTTAGAATATTCTGTGATACGGTAAATTAACACGGTGACAATTATTCAGTGGTAAAAAGCAGTTCACGAGTCTATAAATCAGTAAAGCTAGTATTATACTCAGAGAGTGGTGTTAGAGTTCCATTAAGTAGATTTTATTTGTGGTCAGATTAGGTTACTGTAAAACGACGTCGTGTTTTGACTGTTTTGTTTTCAATATGACTATGTTGGTTTACTTAAATACAGTACTGCAAGGTGATGTCTGTGCGCAATTAATGTGAAGAACCAACCTTTTCTCTCATTTAAAAGCTGTATTTGAGATGCAGGTGCTATGCAATGCAGCGATTAATTAAAGTTTCGATCCATATCTATAGAAACTAAAGCAAACATCTGGGCTTCTACATTTGGCTTTTGTGCAACTTTGAAATTAAAATACACCAACGCTTTAAGGTCTGGAAAATTTGCATAAGTAAAAAGAAAACAATCATAAGCGGAGCATTTAGGAGTTGGTCTTTTCTGGAAGCTTCGGTTTCTGTTGCTAGTGATGAATATTTACATCTGCCTCTAGGTTTACACTTGTTTCAAGGTACGTGTGCGGCCATTTAGATTTCTGATCATGATTAAGCCACTCTTGTTTGCCAGTAAAGTTCTAGGTAAGTGATGGCCTGGATGGATGAGTGAGGTCGGTGGAAGCATTTTTGTATCGCCGTCTGTTGATGAGTGGCTCGCGTGATGTTCAAACGAGCGGGAAAAGAGGAAAAAAAAATCTAAAATGACGTCTTTGGCCCCAATTTTTGCAAAGTTTGATTCGAGAAGAAAAAAAAAATCCTTGTACGAATTATCTCGAAATTCATCATATATCTCTAAAGGCTGATTTCAACTGACCCGATTTTGGCTACGCACGTTAGCGCACGTAAATTTTATTGACGTAAATAGAATAGAAGCAAGATAAAAAGTGCTGAGCTTAAACGAGAAGTTGAGCGAGGTTCAACTTTTACACTTACGAGCGACCTTTCATGCATTGCCTCTACTTAATTTTCCGGAACGTAAATTTTACGCACGTACCCACATAAAAATTACACGACACTGGAAATCAATCATAACCCAGTTTATTCCGCATACGGAGCTGAACGCCAGGATTGTGGCCTTGCGTAAATCGTCTAATCCTCAAAAGTGAACGTTACGGATTAAACAACATGCTCTTGAATTTTCAAGTGCTCTGCGTTTAATCAAATTATTTACAGTGTGCGTCCGTGGGGAGCAGCAACGCTAATGTTATGCTGGCTCTCCAGCTTCCTTTCTTAATTTCTGAGGGTGACAAAGGTTAATTTGCTCCTAAAAAGCAAGGAGGGAAAAGGAAAAATGTCTTAGTCTTTACGCATCAATTTTCTCAACTTACTTCTTCATTGATCTGCATTTAACAAGTATAGTTATCATAGAATAAACTGGCGTATTAAGAGGCGTTGCCTGTAAGGATCGAGCAAAGTTGGACTGTAAGGATCGAGCAAAGTTGGAAATTGGCCCAAAAATCGCAAATTTTGAAGCTTTGTCAGAATAAAGTCTATCATATGCCTGATTCATTGGCATAATTTTTTTTGTCTTATACTGAATATTTTTCTTTAGAGACGTGTTTACTTTTACGAGTCATTTTTT